TACACTCACTCTTTTCCTTGGTTTACATTGCTTTCCCAATTTTACTTGTTACTGGAAGCTCACTACTCTGTGCTGATGAATGTAGGGAAGCACTGCTGCTCTTCATAACTGGATGGAGATTTAGCTTTATAGAAAATGTTTCTCTGGTTATACAGTATCCAACTTTCAGTATTCTTTGTGATTTTAAGTTACATATTTATGCCCAAAAATGTTTCTACCTCTTCTTATGTATAGAAGATTTTTGTTTCCCACCTCAAAATATAATGAATTTTCATCAGTTTCATGCAACTGACTAATTTTATTCTATTTTTTGAAAAGTGTTAAGGAAAAAATATCACTGATTATATATTTCATTGTCTCTTTAGGCACTATTTGGGTTTTTCTGTCTTTTTGGTTCAGTTTTGGTACTTTATATGCATCTAGGCATCTGACCATTTCTTCAAGACTTTCCAAGTTGCTGGAGTCACAATTTTCACTCTAGTTGCTAGTCAGCTGGGATTTTGCTAGTGTCTGGTGTCATTTTGACTTTTTAATTTTTAATTGCATTGATACAACTTTTTCATTCTTTCCTTTAAATTTGGTTAAAATTTGGTCTGTTTTGTTTTTTTAAAGAATCAGCTCCTTAATTCATTAATTCTTTTATTATTTTCTTAAAATTACGTTTCATACTGATCCTTGTGAGTTCACTCATGCAGTAATTTGAGTTTGGATTGGTTTTTCTTTGACAGAACTGTGAATATATAATTTTGGTTTTTTTAAAACTTTCTCTGGTTTTCTAATCTAGGTGTTTACAGCAATAAACTTCACTTTTAACTCTGTTTTTACTGTGTATCCTAGATTCTCCACTGTTTGATTTATTCCTTTATTTCTTCTGTAATTGAATATTTCGGAGTATATTATTTAATATCCTTGTATTTGTATGGTTTTGAGGTTTCTTTTGTAATTTGTTTATAGTTCCATTGTGCTATGATCTAATTGTGTGTGTAGCAAGATTTTATTCTTTTGTACTTATTTTGTATGTTTAGTGGACTAGAATGTCTTCTATTTTTGAAAAAGTTCCCTAGACTGCCGAGAAGAATGTCTGCTTTATTGTTCAGTAGAACTCTTTGAAGGTATCTGTTAGTTTCATTTGTTCAGTGGTATAGTGCAACTTTGGTATTTCTTTGGTGATTTTTTGTTTACTTGATATCTCTGTTTGGGAGAGTGATGTATGTAGGTCTCCCATCACAGTTGTGCTGGTGCATATGTAATCTTTCATGTCCAGTAGTGTTTGCTTGATGTACTTGGGCTCACTGATATATGGTACATATATCTTTGTAATTATTATCTGTTCTCATTGTATTGTTCCCTTGACTAATATAAATTGCCATTCCTTGCCTTTTCTCATGAATTTAATTTCAAGTACATTTTCTTGGAGAAATTCATACTCCGCTTTCTTTCTGAGGTTCTGGTGCATGCAGTGTTCTTTTCTATCTTTTAATTTTTAGTATATGAGTTTTTCTCAAACTGATGCGTCTCTTCTATCCAGAAAATCACTGGGCTTTGTGGTCAATCCAGCCTACAAATTTGTCTCTTTTTTCTTATAGTTGAACATTTATATTGAGTTTTTACTGAAAAATGTTGATGCATTCCAACATGGCCTTATTTCTGTTGACATCTTTAATTTTCTCTTTGTCTTTAACCAATATGCTGCTTAATATACTTTATTCCATCAGAATTTGGGGTATTGTTGGTGTTATTTTTCTCTGACTAAATTATGGATGGTTTTTTTGAGCATTCATTTAGTGTTTATGAACTTCTTATGATGTGTTTTATTATGGGATACCTTTATCCTATGTTCATTTTGAAAAGGTCATTGCAGTACATTTTAGTTTGGGTTGAAAAACTTTTACTTCTAGTGATGGGTAAAGTTCAATCCACCCTCTACTAGTCTTTACTATGTTTGTGATGAGACCATAATTCATAGGTCTCAATGCTGAGTGGTTTGAATCACCACCAGCACATGCATGATTGTCCCATCAAGTTAGTATTAATTTTATTAGTAAAAAGACCAATAAAACTGATTACATCCATTTTCACTACCAGCCCTGAAAACTACTTGATGTAACAGTTATGCCTGTACATTGGTGGTTCAAGCTGGTGGGAATGTATTAAAGTTTTTGTTTAAAAAAAAAAAGCATTATTTAATACAATTACAAGTGATCTTTGGCTTTTCTCTGACAACTTTTATGACTTTGTCCATTGGTTTGAGATTCTCAAATTTTGATTATTATGTGCAATGGAGATCTTCTTAAAATCATTACTTGTTCTGTAAGCCTCATATAGTTTATATGTTTAGTTTTCCTTATTTTTTTCTATTGTGATTTCTTTAAACAGATATTTTATATTCTGTGTGCTATCCTTTAATTTGTTTCTAACTCCATTTTGTCTTAAGTTAGTCTTAGCAACCTCTAACAAACACTTACTAATCTTGCTATACTATTTTTAACATATCTGTATGTATAACATCTTTTATTTCCATGCTATCCTTGAAGTCTGATACTTCAAGTTCGTCATTGCTCGTACTCAATAGAATTCATTATCTCTAAAGGATTTCTGTTTACCTTCTTTTCATGAAGTCAAGTTTTTTGGTAAAGTATTCACTCATGTTTGAAATAGCTTTGATCAGGCCTTTTAATTTTTGGTTTTTGCCAAAATACATTAGTCACCATGTTTTTTAGTTCAACCATTTTGTGGGTTATAAATTATTTGAGCTTGCTGAGTTTCCATGTGTCCATTTTAATCATTTCATGCTGCTCACCCACTAATGTTTGACTTCCACCCTATCAGTGCCCATTGGGTCTTTTTAAAGAGAGTTGGGAGTCTTTGGAATCATTTTCTGTACTATTTTTTCATGTTCCTGTTTTTCTTTTTTTCTTTTTCTTTTCTTTTTTTTTTTTTTTTTTTTTTTTTTTTTTTTGGTATGTATGTGCTGATGGTTGAAGTCAAATACAGTGAAAATTTGTTGTTGGTATAAAGATCTCTTTAGTTAGGTTCTGTTTTCTAGTGATGTGATCTTAGCTTTATTTGTCAAGAGGCTTTTATTTGCTACTTTATTCTATTCAGTTGAATTGGGCTGTATCCAGCTACTGTTACTGTAGAGATTCCTACAGCTTATACCATCTACAGATCTAACCATCCAACAGTGATAAACATTGAAACCATTTAATATTATTAGCACCCTTTTATTAGTGCCAATTCCAAACTATGCTGTATTTATTGACAGTTAATGTGGGATGAGGAAACAGGGAAAGACAGAGAAAGGGGAAATGAGGGGGAAAATAAGGAGAAAGGAGAAAAGAGAATGTTTATAGATAAGATACAAAGCCAGACACTGTTGGATGCACTTTATAGCTAGAATAAAGGGTTAGTGCTGGTGAGTTTAAAAGAATATTTTTGGATGCATGAGAGTACTTTAATGAAAGGACAGAATAACTGGAGGTTGAGGGAAGCTGTGGAATTGTCAGAACCTACTAACACATTTGTGGTTAGATTTAGTGGGATCCTGTAAGCACATTCCATTAAAGGTTACCCCAGTATAACAGTGAATGCTGCCATTTAAGTTAAAACACTGGTCTAATCTTATTCTGCTTTGTACATTAACTGGCCATGTTGGAATCTATGGTTATATCTATTGATTGGGAAGTTATAAAATGTTTATGTATAAACACTTGAGTTATTGACAAATATACCTTATGGAGGATTATGTGGGGTAAAAATAATTAACGAGCCATGTTCTAAAAGTAGTAGAGTCCAATCCCCAGGATGAAGAGGGTCAGGAGGGATTGCAATGGTTAGAGCTTCAGGGCCAAGTACAGCGTTAATTAGCTGAGTTTTATGGATAAACTTAGCATCCGGCTGCATTAAAAATTAAATATCTTGTTAAAGAAACTATATAGCATAGTTTGAATGGAAATCATGTTGTCCTTTGAGTACCTAGGCACTCTTATTGCATGGGTTTACAGTAACAGTTAAAGGTCAAATCTTTCTCATGAGAATATATGATATATAATTAGAATTGTGTGTATGTAATCAGGCATAGACATAGTTAAATATTTTAGAGAAGTGCTGTTGTTAAATACTTACCACACAGGAGTTTAAATTTCAAAAGTGCAGTAACATCAGTTCAGCTGCTTGTTTTGAAGTGCTCTCTTTTTAATTCAATTTTTCTATTAGGTTAATTCCTCGAAGCAAATCATGGTGGTTTGTTGTCATTTGCTTTTCAGCTCATGAGTGTGAAAGCTCCCTGAGATATGCTCTCAACTTCTCTCCAAGTTGTTCTTTCAGATAAATTTTCATGACATTCTTTCCTTCCGTGGGAACTTCACGTCCCATGTCCTGTTTTCTGAGTATTTCATCCGTTGGAATAGAATAATTACAAAGAACATATTGATTGAGTGTTCACTTACTTTTGTTCTCTGTGTGTCTTAAAGCAGAGTCAGAGAGAAGTAGATTATTATGCAGTGTGTTTGTGCTGGCAAAATTTTAACTCTTTCCATAACTGTTGCTCATTATGGCCCATTGTGGGTGCACAAATGGTTCTGTTAATTTGTGCACACACAATAACTATGATGCTAGGCCACAAAGTATAATAAAATATAAGAAAAGTATAAGAATATAAAACATAAGTATAAGAAAGTGTAGTCTAATGTAGCTTAAATGTAATTTGTGAATTAAATTGTGAATCTGTAGAACTTTACTTCAAAAACTTAGTTTTCTCTGACATACTGTATATAGATCGAGTGATACTTCAGAATATACATAATGACAAATATTTTTGCCATTAAATATGTGGAGTTTATTTGGGCTTAAAATTAGAAGGTTGATCTTTAGCATATCTATGTATTACAAATGGCAGGTAATAAGGAAATTGAATGAATGCCCTGATAACTGTGTGAATTATTTTGCGGGTCACAGGAGCATGAAATTTAGTCATGACCTGCTCTCCTTTCTCCTCACAGTGCAAGAATGAATGCTCCACAAGAATGTGTGGCTGTCTTTTACAAAGCTGAAGTCTACTCGGAATTCACTGATTATTTTTATGTGGGGAAAAGTGATTCTCTGTAATCTGCATGAACTTAATGCATTTGATATTCCCAAAGAGGAATTAAATCACAAGGATCATCTAATCTAAACAGTACTGTGAGTATAAGTTAGGTATGTCTGTTGGGTCAGTTGCTTGTTTTAAAATGATTCCCTTCAAATGGACTTTTTGGTTTGTTTTATTTGGTTTTTGTTTCTTTTTTTTTTAACCTTTGTGTTAGAGGTTTATATACAGCTGTGGAAATAGAATTTCAACTATTTTCTGAAGTCCAAATTTTTGCAACACTATTGTGAGTTACTATTAATAATTTAAAAGCATATATCAGATCACAAGAATATTTCTTGCTGTTGTTATATTTAAATTTGTGTTCTATTATCTCAGTTTAGAAAACTAATATTCTATCATCTATAAAATATATAGGTTCCCTATCACTTTTTCTAAGTTACTACAGATATTAAATAATTTCAGAAAATAGCATTCTATCTTCTATAAAGTATATAGTTTGTCTATCACTTTCTCTGTTTAGTAGAAGGATTAAATGAGATATTATTTTTGATTTTTATTAGTTTCATTATCATCTTCAAGAAATACACTACTTAAAATTCATTGTAGTACCTGAGGTACAGGTGTTTAATAAAAATTATTAATATAACCTTGCTTTGGACATAAGATTCTTTTTTTTTTTTGTACCAGGGATCAAACTCATGACATCTAGCTTGCCAGGCACACGCTTATGCTGCTAAGCTAAATCTCCAGCCCAAGGTCCTGTATTAATAAATTCAAATATATGGTATATTTCATGAGCTGTTTAATATCGTTGGCTCATCTTTCTCAACTAAATAACAAATCTGAGTGAAATTTGATCTTCAAATGTTACATATACTATATATAGGCATATACTGCTTCTAAAGTAGCAGGCTATTTGTGAAAATTTCAGAAATACAAATTGCTGAGAAGTAATTTTATATTCCACACTTAATCAAGCAGACATAAATACGTCAAATTGTACAAATTTATGTAATTTTAATGTAATTTGTAATTTTTCACATACATTTAAGCACAATTTGAGATATATCTACATACCCTATAAATTGTAACTTGTATTAACTAATTAATTTTATGCTATTTTAATTAAACAGTTCATAAAATCTTCCTTGCTTATAGCAAGGAAGTTTAGGTTTATCTATATAATGTGGTACCTTTTCAAACAAATTTTAAATTTGTTAATAAATTTGTTAAATTTGTTAATAGCAGAATGGGAAGAAAAAAATAAGGAAATTGTAGCATAACTAAAATACGTAAATTTTGATTTTGATATTTTGAATATTTGCACACTGGTTAAATTACAAATGTAAAAAACAAAATAAACAGGTAAAATGACCATTGGAATCATTGTATTCAGATTGTTCCAGGAGTAATTTTTTCAGGGAAACCTAGATAATTTTATGTATATTACCATGTAACTGGAGCCTAACAGATTTTTAATTAATAGAGGTGCAAAAAATATTTAAAGAAAATAAACTGAAAATTAGTGAATGAATACATTCATGAAAATGTTCACATATTTTGCATATGTGAAAATGTTCACATATTTTGCATTATATTTTAGTGCATATTTTGAATAGGAAGTGTCTATCTGTACATTAAATGCTGCAAATATTTACTGCATACTTGATAAATGTAGACTGTCAAGTGTGGAAAAAAGAAAATGCAATGTTAATCTTTGTATTCTTTGTTTCCTTAAAAAAGCATATGGTTGTTTCTTTTAAGAAATGCAAACTCAAATATAAACCTAATAATAGAAACATTTTAGAAATGAGAATCAACTTTTAAAAATAAAAATGGTTTAAAATGGATGTATGATGCATATGCACTACAAATTTGAAGATCATGTGTGATTATTTTTATGAAATATTAGTATTATACAATCTGCATATTCATCATACAAAATAAGATATAAATTATTTCCTTCATGTCACATAGCTGTTTCTCCTCCTTCAAATCCTAACAGATAACCATGCTTATTTCTGCTAGCCGAGAACACTTTTTCTAGCTCTTGGACTTGAAAAAAGTACAAAAATAAGGTGAGGATTCTTTAGTGTCTGGCTCATTTTACAAAACATAATTTTTGTGTGTTGCTAAAATAATAGTTAATGCCATAAAACCGCCTGTGCTTTTTTGAGATCTGCAATGTAGACTACATGAACCAGAATGTACCCTTCTCTTTCAACACTTGGGAGATCCCTTTCTCTCGCTCAGATTGTTTTTTAAGTCCCTCATAGTCAATGAAGAATTCCTCAAAATTCTAAAAAATAAATGGATAAACAATCTTGCTTTTGATGAGATTATATTTATATAAACAAGAATTGTATCAAGATTTTGTGAAACTATGCATGTTTTAGAAAGATCTATTGTCGTTAACATACTTTAACCAAAACTTAACTAAAAAGTTAATGTCCCAATTATTGCCTATGTAAAGGCAAATGCAAATTTAAAATAAGAAAATATGAAGCTTAATTTTTCTGATCCAAATAAGAGTAAAAACATACAAATATTTTTAGTCATCACACATTTTCAGTATCTATATGTATACATATGTGTATATATATGTATTTCTGACTTCTCTATTGTTCTAATGTTCCATAATTACACTGAGCTTTGTTTCCTATTTTTTGCATTTTGACTACTGTATTTTTAAACTATAATTAAAATTAGAACTTTTGATACTTACAGATTTGTTCTTTTTTTCAAAGGTTGCTTTTGCCACTTTAGGTTTTTAGTGATTTTATATCAATTTTAATATATTTTTCTAATTATGTAAAGAATGCACCTAGTACTTCCATTAAATCTGCAGGTTATTTTGCATACTCTGGACTTATTCACAATTACAAATCTTCAAACCTGTGAATATTAGGAGTACTTTATTTTTTGCCTTTAACTTCCTTCACTATTGTTTTATAATTTTAGTGATTTTTATTTTTTTAATTCATTCCTAGGCATTTTATTCTTTCTGTTGCCAAATATAACTATGATTTTTTCTCAATCACTTCTTTTAAACTTTCTGTCATTCTGAGTGTTGAAACCAGAGCTCTCCACTAAACTCCATCCCCAGTTCTTTTAAAATACCTTTTCTTGAGAAGAAAGTTGCTAAGCACTAAGTGAGCCTCGTGGGACTCCAATTTGCACATCTTCTGTCCAGTCTCGCAGAGTGCTGGGAGTAAGGTTGTGTGGCCGTGCCTGGCCTCTTACCTCTTTTTTTATTGGTTAATTACTTGCATGTAGAACGACTACTGATTATTATTATTATTTTTGGTTTTCTGTTTGGTGATGCTGGGTATTGAATTCACAATTCTTGGGCATCGCCATGCTAGGAACATAATACATAATCTAGGTACTCTTCAGTCTCTACAATTATTTCATGATTTTGTATTCTGAAGTTTTCAGGAATTTATCAAAAATAACTTTTTTTATTGGGTCTTTGGTGTTCACTACTTACATAACCATTTTATTTGTAACAACAATTTATCATCTTTGATTTTAATATAGGTTACTTTTTTTGTCACTTTTTACTGTCTGTCTTGGCAGCCAGGCATGGTGATAAATGTCTGGAATCCCAGCATGTGGGGTGCTGAAGCAGGGGGATCACCATGAGTTCAAGGCCAGACTGCATTACCTAAGTGAGTTCAAGACCAGCCTGCACTAAATAGCAAGACCCTGTTTCAAACAATCTTTGCCCTCAAGAAAAAGTAATTGTCTTGGTAAAAATTTTCAGGGCAGTGGTCTTTCTTTCCTTATATAAGATCTTTAAGAAAAGTTCTTAGATTTTCCCTATTGATTGTATTGATGTAAGCCTTTAATATATGATCTTTATTCTGATCAGGCAATCTACTTCAATAACTATTGTCTTTAGAGATTTAATCATTAATGAATGTTCAATTTTGTCAAATGCCTTTCTGCATCAACTGAAATCATTACGTAATTACTTTCTTTGGGGTAATTTTGTGATGTATCATTGTGTTGCCATATTGTTGCTGTGACAAAATTCTTAAAACCAGCAACAAAAGGAATGCTTATTTGGATTCAGTATTTCAGTTTACAGTCCAATTGCTATGATCATTTGCTTTGATATTGTAGAAATAAGAGGTTTGATACTGTAGAAATAAGCAAGGAAAGAGACTGGAAGAAAATTTGAGTCTCAGTATTTTTTGTGGGTGTATCTCTGGGAGTACAAGGGCAGCCTGAACTGCATAGCAAGATCTTGTCTAAGAAAAAAAAAAAAGATACAAATACATTGTCATGCATACCTTTCTATGAATGTAAATATTAATTAGTTGTTAGCACTAGTTTTCTAATGTAGTTGACGGTGTAGCAAGAAAATAATTTAGGCATAAACAATACAAAGCCTCTTTAAATTTCATACATATAGCTATTCAAGGTTAAAGACTTTAACATTGTTTAATTCTTTTTGATGCATTTTGTACCTGATGTATGTTGTATTATTTAACATTTTCTAAACTTAATTTAAAGAAAATGTTTCATTTTTATTTCTCTGACAGTAGGAGTAATCTAAATATTTTGTCTTATAGAGCATTTTGAGGACACATATATGTACATATTCATAAATCTTAGAAAAATAAGAACTAGTATATTCCCATTAAAGGTCTCACTCTTTATACTAAGTTTGGGTTAGGATATTTAATATGCTCAAATTTATAAAATCTTCTCTAAATTTTATAAATTACTTTCATAAAAAAGCAAATCCGAAAGTATGATCACACCATGTGATCACATGTGGGTGGAGTTTATATTTGACTGAACAGTGGATATTCTTTTTCCTCTCACCAGGTTAATGCACTGAAGATACTTACAATTACCTGACAGAACTCTGTGGTGTCTGTTTCCCTGTCACTGATAAACTGATAATCATTCATATTAGACCAGTTGGCAGCCTGATACTCTGATAACTTTACTGACTTTCATCTGACACTTTTATAATGTTTATTGTTTTGACTATTAAAAGGAATCTTCAAACGAAGCGTCATTTTATTATTTCTGATTTTTTTAACCTGAGCACTGAGTGCTTGGTGTCATCAAAACCTTACAGGAATTCCTGTTTCAGAATTCCCCTCGCAAGGATCTCACTCATCAGCTTCCAGCTGGGCTGGTAGACTTGAGCAACATCTTACAGTATCTCTATCTTTAAAAAAAAAAAAAAAAAAAAAAAAAAAAAAAAAATATATATATATATATATATATATATATATATATATATATATCTTTCTCTTGATATTCAACAACCTCAGGAGTAAAGTGAACAAGTATGTATTTCACTTTTTAAAGGGATAAACCATCTCCACATTTTGCCTGCTTTTTGGTTTCTGCAGTGACATTAAAAATTTTTGTGTGGGCATGTGGGTATATATGTGTCTGTGTGAACATACAATTTTGGCATTTATAATTCTCCTGTAGTATTAGTTCATTGTAAGATATGTCATTATTACCTGAATTTCATCTCCTAGGATTAGTCTTTAATCCTCTCTATAAAATATCATGATCCTTTAGGCTGGAAGTAACACAGCATACAGCTATTTGTTGATAACTTAAGGTTATATTACAGGGTTTCCAAGTTTGTAAGTATCTAAATAATTGAAATATGTTATATGTTATTTTTCATAAAAAACAAGTGAACAAATGAAATTTATTGAATTTCAGTCACTGTAAAAATTATGTTTTGTGCAATAAATCCCTTAAAACATAGTTATAAAAGGAAATTCTCTAGCAAAATGTGAAAATTAGCTAATTATGAAATGAATTCTTCTAATAAATAAATTATATGCTCCAATATCCTTTATATATTAGACACATGCATTAACTTAGTTACATTTCATATATGTATGTAGTTTGCAATTAGTTATCTTAAAATGAATGGACTTGATGTTTCAAGTTAGACTGCAAAACAGCAAATACATAAACATTGATCAACCATAATAAAGAATATATCATCAAGAATAACTGTAAGCTAAATATAAACCAAAAAACAAACTCCATCTTTTCCTGCATGAAAAACTTATTGATAAGAAAGCAAAAGATGCATTTGCTAAAAGTTTGTGTTATAAGCTCACAGAAAGAATTTTCAGACATTTGTACACTGGTATGTAACAAAAATGCATTTCCTGGCAAGAGTTGCACACAGTTTATATAATCTTCAAAGTTAACTTTAAGATAACCACTATGTCAAATCTGGTGCCACGGTATATTTTATTTGATAGTACCACTTTTCGTCCTTCTCAACTTATACCCTAAACTCACAGTCCATTTTTTGTAGGTTTCTAGAGTTAAAAACTAATTCAACACTAATAGAATTTTAATGAAGAATGATTAAATGATTACTTTTGTGTTTGCTGTTTGCGATTACACTCATTATCAGTATTACTTTGCTTATACAATAAGGCAGAAAGAAAACACTTAAGATTTTACTCATTACACATCAATTTCCTACGTATTTGATTTTGATGCAGAAATTTCTGAATAAGCATTGACTACAGTAATGAAATTGATAAGTGAATTCAGCAATTTTCAAGTATAAAATCAATATACTTCATGAAAATTATCTGCAAATGTTTAGAAAATAAATTGGAAAATTATTATAGTTAATCTAAGTATCACTTAGAATAACCAAAATGCAATTTGTAGTGGGTTTAATAATAAAAGTACTACAAGTCCTTTAGAATGTGTAGTAGTTCTCTTTGTGTGACTTAATCTTCCATTATTACAAAAAAAAAACATAATTACAAAAGAAAAGCTTTGTGCTGGTTAAATTTGAGAGATTCCAGTCTCTGGGGGTGTTGACTTGCAGTGACACAGTATACGCAGTGAAGCAAAACTTCTAACTTCATGGCTAGGAAACAATAGAGGGAAGGGAATGCACTGAATTTCATGATCCTCTGCAGAGATTTGGTTTTAATGACCTAAGTACCTCCAACCGAGTTCCACCTATCAGAGGTTTCACTCTCTTCTACCAAGCCTTCAACCCACTTTTTTAATTTTAAAAAAATTAAGATAAAAGAGAACATAACAAAATAGGTCAGAACAGAACAATTTAAGCAACATAGTGTTTCACCACAAGACAACTCGACATAATAGTAGCTACCATAGTCTCTTGAAATATTTGAATATACCTTCATACACTATGGTATCAAACCTGACAAAATAGTATAAAATCATTCAAGACAATGAAAGTATTACAGGGTATTCAGAACCAACAAACAGAAAACAAACAAGGATTACTATATTATCTCCTTGTCCATCAAATTTTTGTTTATACTATCACACCTAACAAAATCCAATGAGATACAACATGATAAAACCGATGGGAGACAGAAGAACAAAAGCATGGTAGGATGATACTAAATCAGCACTAGCTATGATAATGTCTTGTTTTCATCAAAATAGCTGTTCATACCATCACAGACAATAAAGTCAAACAACCAGAATAAAACCATAATGAATGAAAACATAAGGCTTCAAAGCAATATAGTGGGGAATCATGATTACCATACACTTTGATGTATTCTTACCATTTCTTACACTAAGAAGACTGGTATTTATACAGGTCAGTTTGATTCCTTTTGCTTGTGAGTATGGTCTCAAACTTAAGACCAAGCCTTCAACACTTAAGCACTGAAGATCAAAACTGTAGCACCACTTGTTTCTGTTTTTGCTTTCCACACTTTGTTAGCTACAGGCTTTGTGTCTGTAATCTGTGGAATTATCCAAAAATAAATCATTTGTAAGGGTTAAATTTTATACCCTTTACAGTACTACAATGAAATCTAATTCCATTCCTCTCTATTCTGCTTCGAACATTAATAGTTGCTTTCTCAATCATTTCCACATTTTACATGCTAAATCGGTAACAGCAGAAATCTTGGTTTTCAAATTATCACAGCATTGCATTCTTGTGGTCCAGTGACTTTTTTTCTTAACTCGGCAAAAGTGCAAAGCACAGTATTAGTTATGTTGGCAATTTGGATAAGCCTGAAAGAAGACGTAGTGTTTTCTTTAAGGAAAAAGGTGAAAGTTTTTGACTGAATAAGTTCTTTCCTTAGAGAAAGCAAAATAACTTTGCATTGAGATTGCTAAAATCCGTAGTAAATGAGAAATTGTTAATTTCTCAATGTGCTTATAGTTTAAACTTAAACTTACTACAGATATGCTCACAGAATAAAGCACTGTATACAGGTTCTAGGATTTTCCATAGTTTCAAACATACATAAGGGACCTTGCAATGTATTTCTACGGGTAAAGGCACTAGTATACAATACAACGTATATCTAATTTTTAATACGGGTGTTTTCTGTATTCAAAACTATCATATACAGAACCTTGATTATTTCATCTAGACATGAATTAAATCATAGTTTCATTCTAAATAAAAGGAAATTTTGGATATACTACACAGATAGTTTCTAAATATGGATTTTAATGTCAGTGTCTAGAGACGGCAGGATAAGACAAAATTGAAAGACATTTTTAAAAACTTACCTAGTTTTTCTGTAAAGGTAATATGATCAATAGAATATTGGTACTGGTATAAAGCTAATATATCAACAGAAAATTTTAAAATAATGCAAAGTTAGTTCTATACCAAAATGTTTCTTTGCATTTTTATGTATGTATTTAATTGATGCCATCTTCCCAATTTAAGTCACTTAAGGTAATCTTTTAAATAACTGAAATTAAGAAATGTTTTTTTGCAGAAAAATGAAAGGATACCTTTCTAATTCTGCACATTACAAATAATTTAAAATATAAATAAGTGTAAAAGTAATACAAATATTTTATAATAAAAAACGATTTTAGTTTTGTGGTATCTAATAAGCAATAATCATTTTAAAAATAAATTTAAATCATCCATATAAAATGTATTTGTCATTTAAAATACATACCTAATAAACTATGAAAATAATAGACTAAATATATTTGCAAGTTTTATAACCATTGAAGATGTTTTTCTTCAAATATAACATACTCCTTCAAAACTACAGAAAAAAACTAATATAAATCAGCATAATTAGGACCATGTACAGAAAATGTGCATAAAATATGCTCAGTATTGTCAGTCATAAAGGAAATACAGACATAAAAATGTGCTCAATATTATTAAGCATAAAGGAACTGCAAATTAGACTCCCAAACAGATCCATTCACATGCACTATAACAGCTACAACCCAATGTAATTATGTCCCTGTGATATGTTGGCAAGAACTGACACAGTTGTAACCCCTGTATATTATAGGTGGGAGAATCATTAGAGGAATACATAGTCCAAGCTTCTTTTAATCAAGGTTTACTTTACTTCTGGCTAATAATCCTGTAATTACAGTTCCGAATATTAGCCGTTTCAGTTGCTCATTGTGAAATGCAAGTGTGTGATGGAAGGAGTCTTTCACGATTTGCTGTCAGGTTTCCCACCACTGCAGACACTGTAACACAAACATTATTGCTTATGAATTTGCTCATAAAGCTAAAAGCACACGAAAAACACAACAAAGGTGTTATAAAACTAGTTTTCAAAGAATGAAGATTTTGATATGTATTTTAATGTATTTAAATGATTTTGATAACTAAAAATACCAATAAGAACAGTTCAATATTATTCATTCCTATGCATTAATTGAATACTTATCAGCAAGAATAAGAGGATGTGACACAGGCCACAGCAAAGAATGGATTTGCAGTCTGACAATTTAGTACACAGTATGCAAAGATAAAACACTGAAATGAGGGATGAGATTATTTCCATTAGATTTCTGTGGTCCAGAAAGGTAAGAAGGATTGGGAGGCAGGCATGCAAACAGAACCATGTTTTCACGATGTGAAAATGCCTGTGAGAAGAGGAAAAGCAAAGTGGTCTGGTGTGTCTTATGTACAAAGCAGAGGCCCAGCTGCGTGTAACTGGAAGGAAACAGTTTAAACTCTATTTTATTTTCTGTTTTATCTGAACATTTCTTCATCATGTTTCATTCACTTTGTGAAATTTATTTTAGATGATACAATAAGACATAAGATTGTACATTCTAATGGAGTTTCATGTAATATTTTGGTAGCAGGTTTCCAAACAGCAGCAGGAAGCAGTAGTAGAGTTTTGGCCAAAATAACTTCATCCAAGGTGACTACAGCATCTCTAACTTGTTGTGAATGAGCCACTTGCATTCATAAGCAGGGTATACTCAGCATCCATCAGAGGGAGTCAGATTTTAGGCACAATCTGGTGGGCCAAGCATGGTGGGCAGACACATGTCAGGACTGGGTGGTCGACAGTTACTCGAGATGTCCAGTACAGCATGAGGCACCTGGACAATGAGGGCTTGGACTAAGATGAGCTTGTCAGGTTTCTTAATCGCAAGGACAGCAGCTATTAGAGCATGAAGATAAAAAAGGGACTAGGCAGCCCTGAGTAAGCATCATTGTTTATGTGAACTCAAGGGCCCACATTTTATAGGATGCAGAAGCTCTAAGAAATTTGTGGATTTTTTCTTGTAGTCAGTTTGTGCAAGACATTGTGCAGAGTTTTTCAGTCTTTCCAGCAGGCAGCTTGGATGTCATCAGTCAGAAGTGCTGCAATAGGTTGTGATGGGAAATCAACAAGGTCATTTGTGAGGGATTCTCGAAAAGAGGACACATAATTTTTTGATGCCTGGGTGGGTCTTTCCATCTTAAAACAAACATGAACTGGCTGACAGGAGCAAATCAAAGGCAGGAGATATTCTTTAGGTCCTGACAGCTATGCCAGCAGACAGCAGGTGGCAGAAGTCTGAGGCAGTGCATATGGAGGCCAACTGCTGCAGCATTGTTAGCTCAGAGATTCCGACCGGGCCTTACACACAGGAGAGGCCTATTTTAGCAGTATGACAGTCTACAGTGTTTGCTCAGGAGACCATAACAGAGCTGAAGGAAACAGAGAAATAGGCTGTCTCAGAGAAAAGGTGTTGGTGGCTTGCCCAAATATGTCCTCGGCCCCTCCCCCACCCAAGTAATGGGAGAGTCCTTAATTCCTTAGCACAACTGAGACCAAGTGAGCTAGAGCAGTGCAACAAAAGTGTATGGGTTGGGAAGCACAGAGTGCAAAGTGATGGCTGTACTATTGATGGCACAGCAGTTATTTTCTCATGCACGCATTGTGTTCCTCTCAGGGATCAAGTGACGGGGAGGCTGACTGACTTGGTGTAAAAGTGATGGTCCCTTCTAATTTGAAGAGCAAGCCTCTTCTCAGACAGGAACTGATGTTGGTGAGGTGTCCTTCCAGGCTGTAAGTTAGTGCCTGAAATAAAGAGTGAGAGATAAGAGTCCCAGCTGCCCCAAATGGTAACTTTTGACAGAGGGAACTTTGGAGGGTAAGAGGGTTCTGTTCCATTGTCTATCAGGAGGCCCAGATTTGCCCCAACTTCTACAGTGACTGCAGGTTCTCAGGGGCCCAATTTGATAGAGCTCAATATTTGTCCTCTTTATCCAGCCCCAACATGGAGAAAAGAGTTTCAGGCTGAGGGGGCCTGGATAGTCAGGTTTCTTTATGTCTTGCATATGGAAAGAACATTTTTCTGGTGTCAATAGCCTGAAGCCAGAGGGTATGACTGTCTATCAGGCTGAATTTTCTTATGGACATCATATGCTTTAATCAGGTTTTTGGGTGATGGCAGGTGATTAGCTTTTGTGTCCCTTTTTGATGTCTGAGATGTTCTTCATTGGGCTATTTCTAAGGAAAAGTAACCTTTGGGAAATGTTATGGTAACTCATTCATCAGGGCTGACAGCCCTATATTTCTTGGTCAAAATGTAGAACTCAGAAGGAATTGCTGCAGCTGTTGTGGGTAAGCATTAAATGCTGCTATCTGATCAGTGTAGGAAACAGAAGGCTCTGGAGAGAGGACCTCTGTGGCTGAGTGTGGGCAGCGGTTGACTGGAACTGGTGCAGGGCTGGAAGGAGGTGAGTTGGGAGGGGGGAGTGATGCTGTAGGTGCTGGCAGGGACTCTGGCAGCTGAGGAGGGGTCAAGGTGGACTTCTCAGGGAAACCTGCCTCTGCTTTCTTTTATTTTTTTCTTTGAGACTTAGGGAGCAGTTTGGTTTCATTTTTAAATCCGTAAAAACCCTTTTCTGCAGTCAAGGACTGCAGTTTTTGCCAAATTAACTCCCATTTCTGGCTTCCTACATGTGTGCTCTGTATTCTTGAACAATGTTGCAACACAAAAAGAGTGAGCACCCCTCAGAGGTGCTCTGGGTTTAGGGTTTCTGCAATTGAATTTTAGAGTGCAATATCATATTTCATCAATTATAGCTTTCAGTCCTATTGACTAATTTCAGTGTTTCTCAAAGAGAGAAATTTGAATATAGTTTGTAAACAACAAAATGGAGTTCTGAGATAGTTACACTGACTCAAAGCAAAGAATCAGATGAAACACTTTTCCATATAGAAGAACTAGGTGACATTATCAATAAACTGAAATGCATGTTAAGAATAGACTGACACACTCCAAGAACTAGTATTATTAGTTATACAACTAGTATTGCAGTTCCTGCTATTTATTATTATTAAGCAAAGTGTTATCTTGATTTTCCTCCTTGAAAACATTTTTGGTGTTTTAGTGTCTTTTCTGTTCACAGGGGTGAAACACCTGACATTTGCAATTTGAAGAGCAGAATACTTACTCTTTTGGTTCATGCTGACTGGCTCTGAGACAAAGGCCTGCTGGTGGAAGGACCGGGGAAGAAAAGGCTTCTCATGTCATGGTAACCAAAAGGGAGAGTATGCAAAGAAAAGCCAGAGAATGATGGTACTTTTCAGTTTATGCCCACATAATCCTGATCCTAGCCAGGTTACACTTCTAACAGCACATGCAGTAGCTAAACTCATTAGAGGGTGAATTCAGTGATGAACATACTCACTCCACGGTCTACTCACCTTCACTACCCCACCTGAGATTTAGGGGGGATGTTTTAAGTAAATCTTACAATTCTGTTCTGGTCCTGAAAAGATTTATCATCTCTTTGTGTAAAATGTACTTACCCAATCACCAAGATTCACCAAGGTTTTAAAAGTCCAAGAACTACTTTTTGGAAAAGTCCTAGTCTAAAATTTCCTTTGAGACTGAAGGCATACTCTTAGCCATGAGCCACTGTTAAAAATATTTAAAATACTACCACCATATAATGGCACATCATAAACCTTCTATTCCAAAAGACTGAAATGAGATACAGAGAGTTATGTAGACTGGATCAAAGTGAGAATGGAGCCCAGCATAGTGAGCATTAAATTCTAGAGCACTGTGTCCAGCACTCAGGGAAAGTTGTGAGAACATATGAGAACCCAAGTTTTTGTGAAACCCGGTCCATGTGAATTTGCCTATTGAAGCCCTCGTGGCCTTTATTGGGGTGGTTCTGCTAACTGCCTGCACCTTTTCTGACTAGGTGTTCCTCAGACTTGGCATCTTCAGCTTTCTCAAGCCTCCATTACACTTTTGGCTTCCCCTTTACAGCTTAATGACTTACTTTCAGGGCCACACTGCTGGACCTACCACATCTTCTGAAATCTGGGTAGAGGACACACAGCTCTTACATTCTTCTTTCCCATAAAACCAGCACCATGTGGAAGATGTGGAGGTCTGTGGTCAGATCTGCCAGTTTCCAGTTTCTCTTGGATCATGGTTACAAAGACTTCTGATGCTTGAACTACAGGAAACGCTTTCCTGGATAGCACTGCATGAACTTGGCTCCTCAGGGCTCTAGTTCCAAACCAAAGTCTTTCATTGTAGGACTTTTAGTCTTCTGATGGGTCAAGTATGCTTAATTTATGAAATGTTCCTCAGATAATTTTCTTACTTTCCTGATTCAAAGAATTTGGCTCTTTTTTCATGCTAATCTTTTAAACAACTGTACTCTCCTTTCTGCCAACTGTCCCATGCTATATTTCTGATGAAACTGCAAATTTTTAAAATAATTTAACTGTCATTTTTTTTTCTCGTTTTCATAACAGATCTTGCTAGAAACAGCAAGCATCCCTAACTATAGATGAACTATTGGGCCGCCTTGAACTTTCCTCAGCCACATAAATCCATCATACTTAATCTTAACCTTCTGCATAGTCTCATGATTTAGATAAAGTTTTCATTTGATTTTTTGCCAGAGTATGACACCCATGACCAGGAGTCCAACAGCAAATGGAGTTCGTATTCCTAACTGGAACTTCCGGAGACTAGCTTTACTGTATGCATTCCTATCAGTATTCTGTTCTTCTAGCTCTGATCAGAATTTCCCACCTACCTTGGCAAACAGTATTCTAGATTTTTCTGGTCAGATTTTCAAACTACTCCCAAGAATGTCTTCCAAACAAGTGGAAGCCAGTAAGTCCGATACATTCACAGAAATTATCCCACTTTGTGTATAAAAATCTATTTCGGTGACTTTCTTTCTTGCAGGGACAAAATATTCAATACCCAGAACTTTAAGAACAAAAGATTTATTTAGGCTAATATTTCACTGTCTGCAAGAGAGAAATGGCATGATGGAAAGGCCTGACAGGAAGAAATCAGCTCATGTCATGGTGGTCAAAATTCACACAGTGAATTCGGACCAGACAGTCATAGATGCCTCCAGGTCAAGGCCCAGGTACCTGCCTCTCGCCAGACTCTAAAGAGCACACTCAACTGCTAAATTCACATTAGTGAATCCCTTGATGAGTGTAGTGCCCTGATGATCCAGGCAACTTTCAAAACACAAAGTTTGAACACATGAGACTTTCTGGGAAATTTTAGATCTGGCAAAACGGTTGATATTATTTTCAACGTTCAAGTTCCAATATCAATTGGTGGTTCTTTTTAAATTTTATTTTAAAGCTCTGTGCATAAGCTTTCTATGGATTCCAATGCCATGAAATTACTAAGAATTTTTCACACTCATAACCCCACTCTCCCAGAATTTAAAGTCTATTTTCTTTGCCTTTCAACTATTTGTCATATTGTGTCTCATTTCTTGTAATATATTCGCATAACAAAATAACATTAATTATAGGAGCTAGCTGTGTCTTGTTTCATTCATTCATTAAATCACTTATGCCACTGGTATTTATTGAAATGTATTATTTTTGATATAATATGGATTGATTATAAAAACAAAGACTATGGCTACTTTTGAAAAATATATTCTTTCTAAAAGCGAGGGAAAAACAAACCAAAAGTAACAATTACGTATTTGCCAATTGAGGTAAATGATGTTCCAAATACAAGTAACATATTAAGAAAACAGTAAAAATGTAGTAATTAAATTTCTCTGCTATTGTGAATATTACCTTTTTTTTCATCTCAAATAGACTGCTTAGCAATTTGGTGTGTTATATATGTGAATACAGAAAAATTGGGCCTCCCAAACCTTGCCAAAGTTAACATTATAATAAAAAGCAAAACCTTTTTATTTCTCAAATTTGGTAGGATTATTAATGTCCTGATTCTTATGCTGAAATATTTTGCAACATATTTTAAATTACTGCTTAGCTGTTTCTTTTCACTTGGAAAGATACTAGAATGAATTTAACTAACTTTTTTTTTTCTAAGAGTTTCCTAAATTTTAAGATATACTTGAATTGAGGGATCTAATTCTTGAAAAGGGTCTGAACTGCAAAAGAGAAATTGGTATCTCACAAAATTGTAAACCATTTTTAAATCCAGTTATCTGGCAAAATGATTTAGGTAGCTATAGGCTTGTAGCATTCATATTACCTTGAACATTGTGCCACCTCTAATAAGAATGTTTCATCATTCTCTCTAAACTTAATTCAGCATCTTGAAATGAATAGAGGTAAGTTTCAGTTAATATCTAACCCTTCTGCTAATGAACATTCAGATCTCTCAAGGCCTAGGACCAATTTGACAGTTGTCTGAGTGCTATATACTCCAAGCTTCTATTAAGTGATATCATAATTTCCCAAAAAGTAAATGTCATTTTTGGCAAATTTTCTGCCAAAGCACATTCATTGGCAATATGAATTGAGAAGTTAACTTCCCTAGAGAAAATTTTTCATGAACTTTTGGCTATGTTATATGAAAATAATCAATGAAGGTCATTTTGAAAGTCACAATATAGTATTGTTCATGTCAGCTTATTTGATAACAAGAGAAAAATTTAAGTGACTCCAGGAAATTGTACTTTTGTTACTCAATATACTTTTATTAATATGTAAATTTTGGAATGGTTTTATTTAATTGGAAAGTATGAATTATTTAATAGGTGCAACTAAAATTACTAACCATAGTGAAATGTATGTACCTACATCTATGACTGAATTCGCAAAAAGTTTGCTATAACTTACATGACTATTTAAAAAGTGTAAAATTGTAAATTAATTTTAACTGATGAACAAAAAAATAAAAGTTGTGCATTGTAATGCGGTGCTTTGTGATGTTTCAATACATGTGTGCATTGCAAAATGTTTAAATGAATCTAGAAATATTTAATACTGCCAGAGTAATACTCTTTCCACCTGAGACAGAGACACTTCTTAAACTTTGAACTTCTAATAATTGTTTCATTTTTATATTTTTACTATCTGGATAAATATGAGGGTCTAAACACATGTACAAATATTTTATAGAATTTTACAAATACAGTAACCTAAAATGTGTGTGTAAAATAAATGTAGGTGCTACATAACTCTTCCTACTTTATCATTTCATCTTAAAATTCAGCATTAAACTTTTGCAAATTTCTGTTTTATTTGTAACACACATACCAGTGTATCCTCTCACTGGGATATCCTACCAAAAATGCATAAAAGCTACTGCCTTTCTTCCTATACTCTATTTTACATTGTATGATGACTGTTTCTCTTTTATTACCATTTCATTCTTATTGCACATCTGTTTTTTTTCCCAACAATGTGTCTTCTGCTTCATTTGTTAGACTATCTCATCTATTTTTTGCAATTATTCATTTTATTTATAATCAATTTTAATGTATAATATAGTAACTATGTAACTCAACATTGACAATTATGCTGGTTTCTATCCTATTAGACTTAATCCAAGGAGTCCTGGGTCCTGACGTTGCTTCTGTTGCATTATATAAGAAATATTGATGAATAGGGAAATTTTATATTTTTAGCTTTATAATTGCCTGGTTAAAAGCTTTCCTGTTCAACACAATCCATAAATATGAGTTATTCATATTACAATTATACTGAAGAAAGTTTAGAGCAGAAGAGGTGTAAAGATTGTTGTTCATGTCACCTAGGAAAAAATGATAATCTGCCATTATGTGCAGGCATCAAGGATGATTTCAGCAAATAAATTCACTCTCAGGTACCCAACACTCATACGTATAACAAGTACAGGCACTGAACTGATAATTCTCTTGTATTTCTTTCCTGTGTTTAATACTTTGGTTTTAAAACTAGTACTAAGGTCTTACTTGGATTACTGTTCTAGGTGAGTAGTTTTATATATACATGTATATGGGTGTATATACACATATGTGTATATCTTTCTGTATTCATATGTATAAACATAAGCATATGTCTCTATGTTAAAATTTGAACCCTAATTGTATTCTAATATAGCAGGTTTTTTGAAAGCCTTAATAGCGAACAAGAAAATATGTCTGTTTTAGCTCAATAGATAATCTTATTAGTGTTTTTACATATGTCCAGGGTTAAGATATTAAAACTCCAGATTAGCTAAATTTAGATATGATTTTTCAGTGAAAATATCTTCCTTGTCCTAGTTACTATGCCTACTTTGACACTGTAGTCATCTACTCAAAACCCATGGATGCTTAAACATACTATCCTGAGGAAGATAGGTTTATAGACATACCTTTCATCCTGGATGTGTGGAGTTCTATAAACTCTATTTTATGTACAATTCTTTATCCTGTTTGGGATACACAGTTAATTCTTGGGATAAATAGTTAATTCTTAATCCTGTTTGGGAAGTTTTCTGCCATTAATTCTGTGAAGAAAACTTTTATGGCCTTTGTGCCATCTCCAGCTTTTTCATTGATTCCATTCAAACTTATGATGGTCTTCTTTGCTTCCTCTAGCAAATATTGGATTTATGATCTCTTAAAATTTTTAAGGAATCTTTCTTTTTATAGTCCCTAGCCCCAATCCTGTACTCTAGATCTGATATTCCATGCTGAGAGATTTTTGATCTGTTTTATATACTTTCAGCGGTGATTTTAATCTGAATTGCTATTTGATTATGTTTCAAGGATTCTGTTTCTTCCTACATTGGGCATTCACAGTTTCCAAAGTCCTGTCCTTTTTTAAAATCTGTGTCTGCTTTAATGTCTTTCATTTTGATCACCATTTATCTGTGTACTTGAGAGATTTTTTCTATGATCTCTTCCTTTTTTTTTTCGCTCTTTTGCTATCATTTCAGAAAATTTCAATGCTTCGCTTTTGATTTCCTTTATCTCACTGTGCTCTGGGCTTGCCATGGGTGGGCTGGGGGGTCTGGGGTTGCATTTTGCTTCTGCATATTTTCATCTTCTCCTTTTACTTTATTTTGTTTTCTGTGTTTTGCTTGCTGATTTCTTATGGTAGGCATCTTTATCAGTAATATTTAGGACTCCCTAGGAAATGTCTTTTGTCTATCCCAAAATCCTATTTTCCCAATTGATTAAGGATGAAAAATTGTTATCTATTTGGCTTGGCACCCAATCCTTTGGTCCTGAACAATGAATGTGACTGTGATCTCATACAATCACCTTATTATCATACAAGGGACAAAAACATAGCCATATATGAAATCCTGCCTAACGTAGTACAGTTGTCAATAATAGTAGCATCAAGTACAGGCTATCTACTGACAAACTGTAACTGTCAACCTGATACCTTTAACCAGAGGAGCAAATTTTACAGTTATATAACAAAATGCAATATATATATCAGGAACTTGTATGCAATGATTTCCCCCTAAATGGAGTGATTTTACCCTGTGTGGGAAGAGAGAAGAATTTACAGAGATAAAGGACAAGACAGAGAGATGAAAAAGTTCAAACATAGTAGAAGCAAGGCTGGGGTTTAAGGATAATAATTGAAATTTTGGGAAACTGGAGGACACAGGAGACAAGAAAATGAAACTGCAAGTGAAGGGGTATTGAAGTAAACCAGAAAGACAAGAAACAATATTCATTCGTGTGAAGCTACCAAATCAGGAGATATTTGAGGAAAAGACAAATAAGATGAATAGAAAAAAAAAAAAAAAAAACATGGTGAAAAAAAAAAAAAGAAAGCTGAAAGAAAAGAAAAAGACAAAATAAAGGCAAAGTAACACAGCCACAAACAAAACAGGCAAAACCAACCAGAGAACAAACAGCCAGACAGAGGAAAATAAAAGTAGGAAAATTGCCCTGGTGTCCATAGTTCTCTGGCAGTTTCCAAGTCCGAATCCAGCAATGCGTACTCCAGTCAAGTGGGGCTTGTGCAGCAGCCTATGAGCATGACCTTGTCTTCTGGGTATAGGAACTGGGGCAGATCTTTTGTTTCCTGCTTTCTCCTAGAGCTCTTTGATATAAAACGCTCCCACCCACTTCTGTTCTTCCTGTCTGTGTGGTAGGACATAATGCTCACCTGATGACCAGCAGCTGCTTCATATTCTCCCTCTTGCTTCAGACTGCTCCCCGCCACAGGTCCTGCCTGCAGGAGTGCGCACCGTTTCCCAGTCTGTTCTTGCTGGTGCCGCCTGCACTGGCATGCACGCCTGCAGCTGGGCCTGTTCTCTCTTGAAGTGAGAACAGAGGATTGGGTAAAGAAGAATTAAAATACATCATATATGGGTACAAATTTGAAACATGTATCAGTGAAGTAAAAAGCAAACAAATGTTTTTCTTCACTGACTTTGGGGCTCTTTTAAGGCATAAATTTCTAGCAGGTCTCTGTCCTTGTTATGTTGGGTTGCATTATCTGCCAAAGATTCACTGGTGAGAATTCTTACACTATTACTTTCTGGCATGTAGGTCTGAACTTTCCAGAAGTTTTCCCTTCAACTGGAATGTATTGAATATCATCCTGGAGAAATGCATAGAAGTCCAAACCCTAGTGTTTACCACTGTCCTATCACATGCACTTATTTAGTGGGTGTACAATGCAGGTAAAAGAAATGGAGTGTTTTAAAACAAGTATTCCAGTTCAATGGAAATAAAAATGAAAGCACCTGAGATAAATATGGGAAACATTGGGCCTATCTTATGATATATATTTGTCGAACACAGAAAAAAGTGAAGTAGTATTTCCAAAACACAATTTTAAAGATTCTAAACTTAAAAAATGCTAGAACTATTTTACAAGGTAATTTTAATTATATGTCTACACCTCTGATAATATGACGTAGAGTAATGTTTATTCAATTTCCTTTCACTTTTTTGAGGTTGTATAAAGAAGCTGAATGGAGACAGCATAGATCTGAACTTCTTAAAATGATAAGAGATGGATGACATAGATCTGGAAAATAAATTTATTTGATTTTATGTAGCACAAATATACATAAAATATATTCATAAGGGAATGTTGTAATATTACTGACTAAATGACTTTTTATTGCACCATAATAATTATTTTATATGAGTATGGTCAGACAATAATATGATAAAATTAGTGCATCAAAGTTTTCAGTGCAGTTCTATTGCTCATATAAAAATACCAAATTTCAAAATAATCCCTTTAAATGAGAGAAATTTCCAGGAATATTTATCTGTAAAGTTCTCAGATTAGCAAAATCAATTTTTCAGTTTATGATTATGTATAATAATCTACATTTATATATTATGATGATTGCATAATAATCTATTATATATAATCTATATATTTCTTATATCATGTATAATATTCAGTATAATATCTAAAATTAACATTAATTTGCTAAACATTAGAAATTTAGAAAAAAATAATTTCTTGTAAAGAAAACTTAAATCTCTGCCAATATGAATTTGAACATATTTTTACTTTCTTTTTATAAAATGAATACTAATTTAGATTATATAATCTAAGATGATGTTTCAGGAAAATATTTAAAAAACTAATATTAATAATTTGAAAGATATATTTGCAAATTGTTTCTGAGATAAGTTGTGCAACATTAAGCAGAAACACCAAAAGGGCACCTAGGATTTGGAGGCAGCTTTATTCTACTTGGCCGAGCACTGATCAGGATCATTCCGAGAGTATCAGGCCCCGAAGGCTCAAGGAGAGAGGATTTTACGGGATTGCAAAGGGAAAGTCCAAACACAGAGTATTTGGCTGTCTTTGGTTCTTACAGTATGCCCCACAGTGGCCAGCTGTGCATTACAGTAGCCAGCTGTTTCTAGTGGATAGAAGCAATCAGAACTGCAACAGGAACTATTACCAGGGTGACTAAGAGACTGAAGTTACTGGCTTGGGGGTGGTGGGGGTCACATTTTCTACTGCAGCTACACACAGGCATTTATCTTCACCTCCCCACACTCCCCCAAGTCAAAACAATTTTACAATAGCATTTGCTTTATACGAATCCTGAACAAAGTTTTTATAAAATTTAAAAGATCTTCCATGAAACACATGTAAACTAGACAAGCCCTTTTAACATAAAATAATCTCATATCAACTGTAGTTCATTTTTATTTAACAACAAAATTACTTCTCTTTTTATTTTGGATATTCAACTTTCTTTAAATTCACATTATCAAATAACTCACACTTGAATTTCACAATGAACACATGAAATTTTAAGAGTAAGAGAAACATATTTCTTCCATTTACTATGAATCAAGTAATTATTATTATTAAATCTTATAATTATAAATTTATATTAATAAAATTTATATGCATTTTTCCTGAGTGGTATTTCCCAACAGGTATATTTCTGTAGTTGCTTTGACAGTTTGATCAGAATGCACTAACTTTTGTAATAACTTCACAATTCTAGGAGCTTACCACAGGGAAGCTTGTTTTTCTTTGATATCACCATGCACTCATGGTCAGTTCTCTTTTTTTTTCTAGTGAGGGTGCCCTGTTCTCTATCCTAGCCATGTTAATCAGGGATTTCTCTAATAAATTTCTGTATAGTAGATATATATCTGCTTTGTCTCTGTGTGAACAGGTTTCTATGAATGCCTCTGAATGTGTATAAATTACATACATGTATGTGTATATATATATTTCCTGTTGGCATATAGGAAGAAACTTATCATTAGACATTGAATCATGTAATTATGGCAACTGACAGTTCCTATCTGCTGTGGAGACTCAGGAGTGCTGCTGGTGTGACTCCCAGGCTTGGAAGCTGGGGAGCCCGTGCTTCATAGAAGTAATCTGAGAAATATATAACACAATAAATATGGACCACTTATACATGAAAATCATTTAAAAATCCTTCATATAATAAGCAAAACATAAAACACCCAGGGCTGGGCAAAGGAACACTGAAGTCGGAAGTCACGGTATAGCCTCAGCATTGAGCACCTGTTGTTTTTCTACGTGAAGGCATTTGATTTATGTCAGTCTCCTGGTATCTCTGTTCCTCTAGTTAATTCCCCTCTGAAATATAGTGAATAGCACAGCTCCACTCTGGTATTCAGTTTTCTACTACTGCACCAAATACTTGAAGTAATCAACTTATAAAGAAAAAAGGTTTATTGTGGTTCAATTCTGGAAGTTCTACTCTGTGACCGGTTGGCCCACTGGCATAGGCTGCTGGCAGCATATCATGGGCCAGGGTGTGGGGTGACACATAGCAGAACAAAGCTGCTCACCTCATGGCTGGGAAGAGAAGAAGAAGGGCGTGAGATCCTGCTGTCCCCTTCAGGGGGTTCTGCCCAGTGACTGGAGACCTTTCACTAGATTCCAACTCCTGAGGGCTCCACCACCTCCTAGTAGCACCAAGCTGGTGGCCTTTGAGGGACAAAAGAATCAAACTCTAGCTCACCAATAGGGTCACCATAGACAGCTGAGTTACTGCACCCAAAGTGCTGCTCCCACAGTGAACACTCAGACATCAGTCATGACTATTGGAAGAGAGAAGGTGGCAGAAAGCAGATGCTAAAGGGCCTGCATGTCTGCCATTTGCTTGACCACTGTAGAGGGTACTCATTCATATGCCCTGCCCAAGCTATCTTGGGTCATCTCATACCATGAAAATATTATTCATTCAGGTGCAGTAACTCAGCTGCCCATGATGACCCTGTTGGGTGAACTAGAGTTCAAAAATATGACTGAAAATAAGACCAGCTCTTACCTTAAATTTTGCTCCAAAAGATGCACCAGGACTTATTTTTCAGGGTAATCTTATTTTTTTCATATACAAAAATCCGTATTTCTTCAAATACAGTCTTGTCACCTTTTTCTAGAACACTATTATAGTTCTCCAAACCCCACATTATGGACTGAATGTCTTGAAATTCCATTTCTATGGAAATATTGGCCCCAGCCTCTCAGGTCCAGCAGTAGAGCTCTCTTAAAATGTGCACATCTCATCCACGTAGCCTGCTCACAGGGCATAGGAAACACAGCTGTCAGTGACTTTATCCCATGAATTTTTCACCCAAGTTACAATCCCTTGGAGGCTGGGCTTCACAGAGTTTCCATTAAATCAAGTATTAATTGAAGACTTAGGAGACAGTTGTGGCCAAAACATGACGGCAGTTAGGAACCATGATGGTTCACACAGAAGCAACAAAAGATTGCAGGCCCCAAAATTCAGAGAATGTTTACTTCACATGAGTGAATTAAGTATGTCTATTACAACACACGATGTATTGAATTTTTAAGATTCATATTATATACAACCATGTCCAGTTGTTATTGCATCCACACGTTGTTCATTACTTAAAGCAGTCCAATACAGCAGATCTTCAGTGAGTGAGGAGTGAAGCAGAAAGCAATTGAAAGTCACCATGAGTCTTGGTTTGGAGCTGGCAGATTTCACTTTAGGTTTACTCCAGATTGAAACTAGTGAAAATGCAGTATGATCACCATGGCGGTTTTACAATATGGCTGCAAAATCTTTTCATGGCTGTGATTTGAATTACATGTTGTAATTAAAGGTTTTTAACATGAGAAAAAAAGTGGTACACAAATACAAGTTGTATTACGACCACCAAGGCTGCATGCTGCATGACAAAACAAATGTATAAAGTAACTGTAGCATTACTGAACCAGGTACTTGAAATTGAATTCAGGCTGAATATGAATAAAGAGAACCGATCGCAGGTTTATGCAAAGTAAATTATGTCTTAGAATATCAAAAGGTCAACTATTCTGATTGTAAACTGCCTTATTTTCCTGGTAAACATTTTGAGAAGACTTTTTATAATAAATGCCATTACACTAAAAGATTGCAAAAAAAATAGAATAGTTAAAATTTTTGAAATGAAATTCCCCATAAAATACAGAGAGTAAATCTTACTACGTAAAAATTTTAAAAACCACATAACACCCTGAATAAAGATTGACTTCATTGAAGAAAAATTCTGCTTTTGTGCATAAATCATTGGTGCAAATGATAAGGCTTTACTGGGGCAACAGAGAAGATGATCTATAAGAGTCATGTGTTTAAAATTTGTTCAGAAGCATTCATAAGGTTGTAAATTGCTGCTTATAGCATTAATAACATTTCTATTATTTAAGTGGAGGACCAAAGAATAATGGGAAGAAAATGTTTCTCAAAATAAGGCCAAAGGCCCAAAGCAATTCTAATGTGGGCTCAGTAGGAAACATTTTAAACAAATGCCTTGTGTGAGTATTTTACTTTCTGAATGCCCAGTGGCAAAGAGCAGCTCTTAAAAGCAGGAACAGAAACATATTTCTGACAGGTCAGAGTTCTCTGCAAGTTCATGTTGTGTACACTGATTTTTGTTTTTAAGCAAGATCCGAGTATTACCAGAAACACAGATTCCTTGCAAATGAACATGTCAATCCTTAGAAACACTTTCTTTTGATGTTTTCCTTACTTTTCAAATTTAGCTATTTGATGGAAAGATAAAATATGACTCCAAGCTTGGGAAAAGTTATATTTCTAATGAAACGGGGCATCCAAATGAAGATAGAAAGATATGTTAGTAAATGCCTACACATGTTGTGATCCTAAATTTAGAACTAGATAGCTTAGCTAGAATTAAACTTCAGTAAGATTGTGCCATTGTAACTTATTTAGACAATGGTGGTTACTTTTCAAGTCCTTTGCACAGAAATGGCACTGAAACAGATCAGTGCTGTATCTGGCAGCTGTGTAAATAATGAATTGCTAACTACGAATTTTAATAAAAATAGAAGTACAGTTCATTTCTGGGGCAGAGTTCTTCAAATTATTTTACTACAATTTGTAGTTAGCAATTTGTCATTTCAAGAGTTACCAGATACAGCATTGCTCTGTTTCAGTGCCATCTCTGTGCAAAGGACTTGAAAAGTAACCATCATAGTCTAAATAAGTTACAATGGCACAAGCTTGATAATGTTTAATTCTAGGCAAGCTATCCAGTTTTAAATTTAGGATGACTTAAAATGTGTAGGCATTTACTAAGTTATCTTTCTCTCTTTATTTGGATGCCCCATTTCATTAGAAATGTAACTTTTCCCAAGCTTGGAGTCATATTTTATCATTCCATCAAATAGCTAAATTTGAAAGTAAGGAAAACATCAAAAGAAAATGTTTCTAAGGATTGACATGTTCATTTGCAAGGAATCTGTGTTTCTGGTAGTACTCGGATCTTGCTTAAAAACAAAAATCAGTGTACACAACATGAACTTGCAGAGAACTCTGACATGTTAGACATATGTTTCTGATCCTGCTTTTAAGAGCTGCTCTTTGCCACTGGGCATTCAGAATGTAAAATACTCACACAAGGCATTTGTTTAAAATGTTTCCTACTGAGTCCACATTAGAACTCCTTTGGGATTTTAGCCTTATTTGGAGAAATACTTTCTTTGCATTATTGTTTTGATGTCCACTAAATATTAGAAAGTATATTTATGGTGTAATACTTTAAGATGGTTAAAGTTTGACCTAGGAGACAGAGCTACAATGTATGTGGTTTCTGCAGAGTTGTTCAAAGTTGTTACTATTGTTTTTGGATTTCCCTGAATATTACAAAATCAGGGGCCTAAATATATAGGTCATATAGTTTGGGAGCAAAACAAGCATAATGAGATATTATTTTCCAGTATAGTAAATAAAAAAAATCAGGAATATGTCTCCAAGCAACAAATGGAATGTGTTTACAAACTTGGTAAAAAGAAATTGCCTCATCGTTAAGTCTTATCATAAAAAATAACTTTGTCAACCAAAAACCAAAATCAAGCAGGGCATCTTCATATAGAAAAAGGAAATTAAAATGATCTTCCATGCAATTATGAAAGTGTCAGTTGAATGCAAGCTGGTAACAAGTTTTGTCATGCATTAGATATACAAACAGATGCTTAACTGGAAGGTGACAATCAGACTCATTCTTCTTATGTGAAAAGGGGATTGATGTACTCAAAGCCCAAATTCATCTATGCTGTTCACAAAGTAACTGTCATCAGGTGTGAGCTGGACAGGTTCGTTGGTAAATTCAGGGTCAAAGTTTTCTATCCCGAATTCTGTACCAATACTTGGCTTAAAGGGAGGAGGCACTTGCTTTTTTTCCATCATGTTCCAGTCCAGATTGTTAAAGAATGGATGCGCTTTAATATCGATGAATCCTCTCTGAGGGTGACAGCCCAATCTTACCTCTGGCTCCTTCTTCAGAAGACCCTTGAGGATGCTTCTGGCTTCGACAGACAGGTGATGTGGAATGTGGACTTCTCTTTCTAACATAGATTGCAATACCTTGTATGTGTTTAGATCAGAGTTCTTGGGACTGTCTGCTAAAGGATACGGAGGCTCTCCCACCATCATTTCGAACATGACTGTTCCAAGATTCCACCAGTCCACACTGAAACCATAGCTTTCGCCTCTGATGATTTCTGGAGCCAGATAACTGAGTGTGCCACAGAAAGTGTTGGTCTTCTCGCCTGCCTTCAGTCCTGCCTTACATAGGTTGTAATCGGTAATTTTAATGTGTCCGTCTGCATCTAGTAACAAGTTCTCCAACTTCAGATCCCTGTGTAATATCTCATGTTCATGAAGAAACTTGATAGCTAAGGAGGTCTCCCCGGAGTAGAATCTCACATGTGCTTCGGGAAAGATTCCGAACTGTTGCAGATGGTATGATGTAATCCAGGATAAAGAAAAATCTGGTTGGTGTCTCGATGCAGGAATGCAGGCCAACCAGGTAAGGGTGGTTCAAGCTCTTCTCCAATATTTGCTTCTCTACCTGGAGACGAATAAGGTTTTCATCGTCCTTTCTCACCACTTTCATGGCATAGAGGTGATCTGCTGTTTTATGCCGAGCTAGTAAAACTTTACCATAGCTTCCTCTCCCGAGGACACGGAGAAAGTCAAAGTCTTTAAGAGCAGAAGAGCACAAAGGCCTGCCATTTTCCTCACCAGTATTTGTCTCATTCTCGTCATCTATTTCTTGCATACCCACATGACTTTTAGGATTTGGTGAGACTACTTCCTGTTTGGGATCTAAAGCCATGGAAACCTGGTTTATTGGCATTGTGCATTCATCATGCAAAGTATGGTGCTTGCATGGAACTCTGATGAGTGTATGGCACTTCTTATGAACTAAAATTTTACAGTGCATACATTTGTATGCCTTGCGTCCAAATCCCCCTGTGGGGTCTGAGCAGACAGCACAATTAGCACGCTTACTGAACCTTTTAGATCGAAATGTGTGGCTGTTAGTGCAGTGAACCTTTCTCAAGTGTCCTGAAGCTCTACAGCAGATGGATTTATCTTCTGGAGAAAGTGTCTTAGGCTGTTCTTGTACCCAAAACACCTGAGGAGCCTCTGGAAATGATGGTGGGAGAGCCTCCGTATCCTTTTGCAGACAGTCCCAAGAACTCTGATCTAAACACATACAAGGCAGAGTTGTTTTTGGCACCCAAGGCACTTTAGGATCTTCTGGTATGCAAATCACCTTTCCATCTTGTGGTAAGCAAGGCACTTCAGTACATTCAGATACACAAGACACCTCAGTATACTTTGGTGCACAAGATGATGTATGAATTAGCAGCTCAGAATCTGTATTAAGCTCAGAAAGCATGTATCGATCTTCTAATTGCAACAGAGGTAACGTATTGCATGGATCTCTCTTTTCATCTACACATCTTGTTGTGAGGTGTTTATTACCAAATGAGCAGGTGTCTAGAAGTTCATTGCCCTCAGAAGAAAACAAAATCTCAAGGCTTGTCGTCTTCTTATCCCCACCTACAATTTGGGCCTGTTGGGAGGTGGTGTAGGCCATGGAGGTACTTGGGAAGAATGGGTCAGAGAAGGGTTGGTCATGCAGGAAAACTGGCATACAGGGCTTAATGGGTGAGGGAGGCCTTACTGCCTTTATTGTCTGTTCAGTGTGGGGTTGGGCATCTCTCCCTGCCAAGTAATTCTCCATAATGGCTCAGCCCAGCTGGTCATATTGTAGGTTTCTTAGTGTTTGGTGGTTGCTGGACACTGTGACATCAGTCTCTACTTCTGGACACCTTGGTCTGTCTGACTTTACTGCTGCCAGCTCTGCTGAGACCTGCCCAGAGCTGCTGAGTGTCCCGGGGCCTGTTGAAACTTCTCCATGAATCTTTTGGGTTTCAGTGTCATTTGTACCTGAGTCAACAGAGTTTTGGTGTGGGTACCTTGATGTTGGCTGTTCACAGTTGATTGGTCTTGGGGAGACCGTCTCTGGGCTGACTGTGAAAGTTGGGTGCCTTTCACATCTTGGTCTGTCTGACTTGACTGCTGCCAGCTCTGCTGAGACCTGTCCAGAGCTGCTGAGTATCTCGGGGCCTGTTGAAACTTGCCCATGAATCTTTTGGGTTTCAGTGTCATTTGTACCTGAGTCAACAGAGTTTTGGTGTGGGTACCTTGATGTTGGCTGTTCACAGTTGATTGGTCTTGGGGAGACCGTCTCTGGGCTGACTGTGAAAGTTGGGTGCCTTTCGCACCTTGGCCTGCGGCATCTGGATGGTGTGAGGCATTTTCTCAATTTTTGACATAGACTTTGTCTGCCTGGGGTCCTGGGGTTGTGGCCTCTGGATGTGGAGAAAGAATTCAGCATCCTCTCCGCTGAGTGTCTCCAGGCAAATGAGCTGGGGAGGTTGGCTGTACTGGATTGTGATGTCTTCTACAAGTGTTCCAAGTTCTGCTTGGTCATGTTGCCAGGAAGTTATGTCCAATAACTTGAGGTCCAATAACTGATAAGAAAGCCTATGGCTCAACTTTTTCATCATGCTAAGTAAATCAGTGGCTA